TATAATATATTAACATATTATGTAGACCAAATGCACAAAAATTTTACTTATTTGGCACCATACACTTTAGAATTTCATTAAATGCAGTATTTATACTACTAAACTCATAAACCAACCATTGTTACTGTGATACTATAAAGATTTATAAACTTTTAACGCTTAAACATAAACGGTAACAGTATAAATATTATTTCTTTCATTGACTATACTTTGACAGATGCATAACCTGAAAAGCCTTAAATGCCAAATTTTCAAAAGACTGCGTTCCGTACGTGGTCACGTGGTGGGACTTTGAAGTGTGGAGCATAGTACCTAAAACACACGCCAAATTACTATTTAATATTCAATGTTTTTTTGCAATTTTCGCATATTGTAGGAATAAATTTTTGCAATTGACGTGTATTAAAATTTAATTATTGCCTATTGCCGTAATTAATTTTTACGATAAGTGCAATACAAGACAATTAAATTATTTAATTCTCGTGTATTGTAAAAATGGTGGTAGAACTGTTGCTTTAAATAAAATCCCTAAAAATTCCCCAACCGATACCTTTAATTATGTAGACAACCCAGATTACACTTGGCCCAATACATATTTCTTATTAATTTAAATTAAATAAAGTCTATTTTTTTACTCTCTAAAGAAAATCTATTTTGTGTACATGCATTTAATAAAAAATAGACTCTATTTAATTTAAATTCAAAAAAAATATCTAGGGTCAAGTGTAATAAAGGTTGTCTAATTAAAGGTATCGGTTGGGGAATTTTTAGGGATTTTATTTAACGCAACAGTTCTACCACCATTTTTACAATACACGAGAATTAAATAATTTAATTCTTCTGCATTGTAATTATTGTTAAAATAAATTAATGCAACAGGCAATAATTTAATTTTAATATACGACAATCGCAAAAATTCATTCTTACAATACGCGACAATTTGCAAAAATACATTGTTAAAATACATGACAATTGTAAAAATTAATTTCTGCAATACACACCAATTATAATTTTGTACACATTATTGAAAATTAATAATATTTACATGCATGTTTTTAAAATTTAAAACTATTGCAAAAATAAAATTTTAAAGCATAGAAAATGTTTTGTACAATATACATGAGTATTGCAATAATAAATATAATACCTATAATATATTCTGCGATTGTTTCTAATTATACTTTATGAAATGTATGTATTGTTTTTAATATTTCAATTGTCAAGCATTTAAATTGACATAAATATCAGTCGTTGCAAAATATAAAGTAAAATAAAAACCGAAAACTGAAATAAAATATTTATTTCAGAGAATGTTAAAAAGCAAAACGGCGTTTATTTCAGAGAATGTTAAATAGCAAAACGGCGTTCCATAATAATCTGTGTTTATAACACATAAAAATTTGACATTTGACGGTAACACAGATTCCCCCATTGTTTTATAAAACTATATATAGATGGCTCTCTACAAATATTTGATTTAAATCATCATTTTAAGATATTATTACGTATTTGTCGTAGAAAAAGTATAGTATGCACCTCGTTTATAAATTATTATTTTAATTAATTTATTTAAATTAATGTAAGCACTCGCTCACAAGCTCAATCGTTCCTAAATTCGTGTCGGCGTTTATCAAACTTGATACATAATATACTATAGTATTAAAAATAAGGTAAGTGCGGGTAATAAGGCCCACCTAACGCATTATATTAAAAAAACAAAGAAAACGTGTACATTTTTTAATTTTTTTTATTTCATAAACATATATTAACTTTAAATTATATACTGGTTACAGTTACATTATAAACTCAAATGAAATAAACAAAAAGAAAAATTCTTAGGTTTTTAAAAAACTCGTTAATGGGCCTTATTTCATGCTCAACAGATAATAAAGCCCATCAATTCAGGGTGCACATTTGGGAGAAATAAACACATCTTCATCCTCAGGCGTCAGTCCGACACATTCTTTATGGACCCAGGTGAGGCACATGACACACTGACGCATATCAGCATTAAAATCCAATTCAAAAAGATTGCAGAACCAATCTTCCTCGGGGTTGGCGTCTGCGCTTTCTGTAGAGGTCGATGGTTCTACAATGGCCTTCGTTTGACTGATCTTCGCTTTCTTCTTGCATTTTGTTGCCGAGCCGCTGGCCTTTTGGGGTTTCTTCCCAGTTTCATTATTTGGTGGGCCTTATTACCTGCTTTGTAACGATCCTTGTTTTAAGGTTATAAGTCAGACATGCATAGTACAAAACCAATCATTTTCTTGAAAAACATTGGTAATATGTGTATTGATACATACCTGTAATGGCGCAGCAATTGAATGAACGCTTTTTAGGCACAGTTCTAGGAAAATACCACAAAGAAACTTGTTGTCGAAACACTTGTTGTATTTACGATCAGCAAACGACATCTTATTAAGGCGGAACTCTATCGAATATCAAATATTACCTAGTAAAATCATAAGATGGCAGCCCCAGTATTATAATTTAAAAAATGAAGGTAAAATGGCTGTCGGGCCTTATAACCTGCTGGGCCTTATTACCCGCACTTACCTTACTCTATAATAATGAGATGTTAACTAATAATAGATTAAATAATGAATTATTATAGAGTCCATTTAAATATATTTGATATAATTTAAATCGTATTTTTTGATGGCATAGAGAAAAATATAACAATTTTTAAATTAAGTAAGTAAAGGTTTATTTAAAAAATAGGTTGTTTGGAATGTTTAAGCTGTGTTTAACATTTAATTTCACTGAAAACTTAAAGCAAATTAAAACTTAAAGATAATTTAAATCGTAGAAAAAGAATCGTGCCTTTTCTTGGTTGCCTAACCTCACTTTTTGTTTTATTATTCATATTTAATTTTACAATAATTTAATGAAAAATATTAAACATTAACAGTAAAACAAACAAATTAGTGCTTACCTATTATAAATAAATTAAACCAGTTTAGTACGTTAATTTCTTAGAAAAGGATTAATTTGTCAAAACAATACCCCTAGCGAGAAAAAATCGAACTAATTACTTGCCTCATAAAATTTTTTATGGGCCTAGGCCATAACAAGGTATTTCTTTATCGAATGTTGACAACAATAAAGTACAAATTATAGACCGCGTGGAGATAAAATATTTTATGTTACATATTTAAAATGGTTCTGAAATTTTTGCATAAAAAGGTTCTATATACAATATAGAAATCTTTTTATGCAAAAATCAAATTTTCGAGAAATGGCTACATAGATACATAAGTAATAGCTAATATAGCTAAAAACAAACTTGAAAAATAATCTTTTATAATTAAGCAAAAGTAAAAAATACAAATTTGGGAAAAAACCCAAAATAACTAAAGGATAACTAAAAATTAAAGGTTCAAAAATTTATTCCAAATTTTTATCGATTTTTCAAATGACTGTATTTTTGTTAAAAATGACCGTATCAAAGTATAAAAAAAAATCAATTTGAAGCTTTAAGTCTCTAATTTTTAGGCCTTAAGACGAACAATTTTTCCAAGCAACAACACAGAAAAAACGCTAGCATAGCATGAATGGGATCTTGTAATCCGTATTCCTGAATAACAGTCCCTATAATACCAATAGGTAGTTAGCACTTGGTTTATAATAGTTTACTGTTTTTAAATTAACAACAAAAGTTATCGCTCCTAAATCTATTGATATTCATATTGATATTTATTTGTTCACTCAGAAAAATTTTTAATAAATATAACAAAAAAAGTAGTTTGTCTTAATAAAGTAAAGATCCCTATTCGTCCAACAATTGCTTTTGTTACGGCAAAAATATCATTTTTATAAAAATTATTTATCTATAAACGCTGCTTTCAGTAATAGCATTTGTATTAATTATAAAGTAAATTTACGTTATGTTTACAAAAATAACACTCTACCAGATGCAGAAACGCATTGATAAATATAGTTATTATTATTTGTCCTAAAAAACAGTTTCATACCGTTTACAAAAACGTTTTGTAGTATTAATGAAACCCAATGGTATTATTCATAGAAATTTTGTAAATTTTACAAATCCCTTTTCGTTTAAAATAAAACTTTTTTTATAATATTAATAAAATTTTTGTAAATTTAACAACAAATTAATTGTTAATTCAATAAACTATTTTCATTGTAACAATGGTCACATTTTCAACCTATTGTTGGGTGTTGGGTAGTTTTTTTTAAATAATGCAAGGTATTAAAACAAATTATTTATTATAACAAAAAAAACTCCTATTATATAATGACCAAAATAAAAAACTAAGAACTCAAAGCAAAAGTATACAACATAGGTATATTTTTATACCAATATATATTTTTTAATATTAGTAAAAGTATTAAAAAATATATATGTATACAAATATTATAAAATATAATTTAATAAAAATATTTCTGTTACAAGCGGTATTAATTTTGTTTATATGTAAATGAAATTAATACCGTGTAATAGAAATATTATATTATTATTATTATAAAAATGTACATTTTTAATACAAGTTGTCTCATATCGTTCTCATTATCATATAAGGGCCTATCTTATAGGTTAAAATTTTATAGAGCATGTTAAAAACTTAAATTTTGAGCTAATTTAAATAATTAAAAAAAAAAAAATATTTTACTAGGTAGTACATTTAATGTTATATCCATAGGGGCGTATCTCATATTTTACAATTTTACAGGGCATTTTAAAGATTTGAAGTTTTTTGTTTTTATTTTTTGAACTACCTAGTAAAACTTTTTTTTTTAATCATTTATATTAGTTAAAAACTTTAAATTTTTAATATGCTCTCTAACATATGAGATAGGTCCTTATGTGATAATGAGGAGGATATGATATTAACATTTAACATCAAGATTCTAATATAAACTTAAACCTAATAGGATTAAGATAACTAACTAGGCTAAAAGATCTTATACAAACTTAAAAGTCCGATAAAAAACACTGTGGTGGGGGGTTTTAGTAACGCAGTTGATTAAAAACTTATTTAATCAGCGTTAATGCGCTTGTTTAATTCATTAATAAAAATTGTTACATTTGGCAGTACAACGTCGTACTCTGTTTTGATGTTGTACAAAAATTTTTGTATGAAAAGCCATACAGCTTGACATTCTATTGGGTACTTTAAATTAAAAACATGTAATATTTGAAAACAGCAATTTAGCGCCGATATAACTGAAAAAAATTTGTACTTTACATTATCAAAATATACAAGGTATTGTTTTGGTTGAAAAAGTGTATCCTCTAAGAGAACAACTAAAAGTGGCTGTACTGGCAGTTGACGACTTTTCTGTCTGAGAAGTTTTTCTTCTATCTCTGTTATGCTATGTCCCGTTAGCATAAATGAGTCTTGAGAATCTGTTATGGTACATTTTTCCAAGGTTTTTTTCTTTCCACTTTTTATAACTCTTTTTGACGTAGGAACTAAGGCAGCATGGATTGTATGGAGTATTACAGCATTTTTTCCTTCTAAAAGATTATGTTTAATATTTAAAAAAAAACGGTGGAAAACAAACCTTCTGAAATGTTTTCAACATCATTTAAATATTTTTCAAGAATTTGTTTGCACAGCTTGTCCTTTATTTTAGATTTAAAAATATCCAAGACATTGTCAGAAAATGGCACCCATTTAGTAAAAATATTATTTTCAGCGTCAGGAAAGGTAAGTTTAAAGTCAATTTCAATCTAAAACAAAAAAAAAAAAAAATAAATACATTCAGAACAAAAAAATCACTACCCACCAAGGTATATCCCATGGGATTTTTATAAGCGGGCCATTCCTTTAAAAAATCCACTACATTTTCGGCATTGCTCTCGAGTAACATTCTTTTTCTATAATTTTGGGAAGACCTCCACAACGTTTTTATTTCTTCCCATCTTTCCCCTTCTTGTGCATATTTTAATCTCTTTTTTATATTTTCAGAGTCTTCTTCTGGTTCAGGTAAAGCTAAAGCAAACAGATTACCATTACCATGATTTTTTACTTAAGTAAAATTACTTACGTTCGCTGGGCGACTTGGAATGCTTTCTTTTTAGTAGTTTTGCTTCCACTAGTCCACAAGTTTTTAGCTTTCTAATTTGATTATAAAATTTAGCCAACAGCTTTCCTTTTGGAGCTTTACCACCTTGAGGTGCAAAGTAGTATTCCTATAAAATATATAAATAAATTAAAAAGTATTTTCAATCTTAGAATTTTAATACCACCACTTCATCGGGAAACAGTTTTTTAATTTGCTGGGAGATTGTATCCGATGCTGTCACATTTAGTTTTAAACCATTTTGAATAAAATAATCTACGGTTTTATCCACTAATATTTGCTTATGGGATTCCGGAATTTCCTTCTTGCCTTTGTTACACAACTGTAGGATGGCTCTACCCTCAGCATAATTATTTAAAATTGATTTTAAATCAACCACTGATGAAGCTTCTCGGCTCGTACTTGGTATCGGATCAAAAGTTTCAGTTTCTTTTTCAGGGTTCACTGATAAGGCAGCATTTGTGTTTAAATCCTCAAATATATATTGTGAGCCACCTACGTTATCACCATCGCTATTTTGATTATTGGAGGCTATAGCCCCTTTATCAGAGACACCAGGGCCTTCTGGAGCGGACCCAATATTGTCCATGACATTTTTTTGCATTGTCAAATTTTGCATATTTGTACTCTCTTTGTCGTTCGTGAAGGTGTTCTGAAATTAAATATCCAAATTATTTACCACATCATTATCACATTTTTATTTTACCATCTCTTTTTGCCATTTGAACAGTTCGTGTTCAAACTTTATTCTCAGTCCCCATGGAATTTCTTTTTTAAGCTCTTCCAAATGCTCATGACGAGCGTATGCTAAAGCCTTTAAGTCAACGTAATTTTCTAAAATAAAACATTTTTGATTTACAATTACTTTATTAAAAGAACGTTAAATGCTTACTTTTAAAAAGTTCTTTTAATTCAGGTAGTTCCCACTGGTCAAGTAAGTTACTAACTGACATATCTTTATTTTGGCATATATTTTCTTTATTTGATAAGTCTAGATCATCTGTTATTACAGCAGTGGAAGACAGTAAAGGATCAGAATCATTAAGATAATTAAAAGCATTTCTAAGTATTGTCCCTGGCGAAGGATTGTCCACTTGGTAATCATATAATTCACAGGTGCTTCTTATTGACTCCATAACTTATAATTTAACTATTTTACACATTAAAAAACTTATTACTATACAAAATACAAAAGATGATAGATGGTGCAGTCGATCAACTCTTAGCCAGAAAGTCGACACACATGTTCTTACAAAGTATTTAATACAAAACACAATTAATCTAAAAATTATTATATATAAAAAACCTGCTAGCAATATATTTTATAACAATTAGTGCAAGCAAAAAAAACTATTGATTTGGTGTTAAAATACATACAAAAGAGTCTATAATAATTATTAGTATGTTCAAATAGCAACAATACCATAATGTTCATTTATTTAATGTGACAGGTATATAACAATATGATATAGTTAATTCAATGCAGTTTTAATTTATATTATCATAGACTTTTTAATGTGTAAATTGAAACGTGATTAAAAGAAATATTCCTTTAATCGAACTAAATGTTTTAAATTGCCAAGTTTAGAAGCATGGATTGGTGGGCCGGATATACTTATCATATTTATTAATTTTAAAGTAACTTCAGCTTTATTGGTTTTTAATTCGTAGGCCTCGTAATGTAAGTTAAATTCAGCATTACACTCTTCACAAAGGACATAAGCTTCATCCGTAGATACTAATATAAACACAATTATCTTATATAATAAAAGTTTCCCAAGAAACTGCGAAAAATAGTCGTTTACCTTATATTTGATCTCCCTATACTGCATTTTGTTGTAAAATTTAATTTTTTTTGGTCCCAGAACATTTGCAACGAAATCGTTATGAATAGGTTCAGTTTCATTTTTTTCAGTCATAGTAAACATATTTTTTTGGTGTATATTATTTATGATATTATCGGCAAATTTTAATTGATATTTTTTGGATAGCGTAAGTGGAATATTAACTCTTGAATTGATTGCATGAGCGTAAAGTTTTAATTCTTTATGCTTGGATTCAAATTTAAAACACCAATAGTTTCTTGGAGGGCCGGAGAAGTTTATAACAGTTGTGTAATGTACAAGATTGTGGTGTTTGGGTTTTAAAGTATCATGAAAAAGTTTGCAGTACATTTCTAAATGACGCTGAATTAAACAATCTAATAATTTTAAGGTTTCCGAAGAAATGTTGTAGGATAAAAGAATGTCTATAATTTGCATAAATTCAAGAAAAAAATTCCACACCGGGTCATTTTCTGGGATTAATTCGCCAATGATTAAAGGAAAAAAATGCACAAAGCACAACATTTCACGGGCTGACATTTTTAGGTGATGTTTTTTAATATGTTCAACTTTAATATCTGGAGAAATATTGCCGATTTCGGTACGACCATAATCAAAATACCTTTTTCTAAAATTCAGTTGCTCTAAAGTAAACAACTTTACATTCTCAGTATAGTAGATTATTATATGGCATAAATTATAATGACATATGCCCTCAAAAAAATCATGCATAATGTCTACTGCAAAATTAGTTACCACATGGAACGAACCGATGGTATTAAGAATTGAGTTCTCTAAAATCCCTGTTTCCGAAATATTGTTTAAAGCTACGTCTGTATTATAATTGTCTATGTTTCGTTGTAATGATATGTCTGCTTTAGAACTTGATTGACAAATGTTTCTGTGCATTTTACAAAATCTACAGTAGTAGTTTGAGTTAAAACTTTTGGTAAAACCTAAAGTACCATTTAATCCTAAATTGTCCCCCAGTATAAGACCTAAGACAGGATAAACTTTAAGTGGCCCATGTTTTGTCTCAATCATAATGCCCTCATTTTCCAATAAATTTATTTCTCTTACTATGAATTTTAGACACTCACTATTACCAAATGTTTTTATATCAGTAGATTTAATAAGAGCAGCTAAATATATATTATCGAGTTTAGAATTTTCGCAAATAGACGGAAATGTATAATAAAAAGCAGTAATGGCTTGAGTCGTGGAATGACTGCCGAGTGGATCGTTAATCTCAAAATCATCGACGTATAAATAGTAAGGAACAACAATTCTGGATTTTGGGAATTTTTGAATTTTTTCCTGCCATAATTTTCCATTTAAAAAACAACTGTTTTGCGTATTCTTTAAACTACCTGCCACATGTACTGGTTTAATTATATTAGATTTTTCAAGTGTTTTCTTCATTTGAAATTGCAACGGCAACATTACTCCTGTAGAGAGCTTTTCGCTATATTCAAATTTACCATTTTTGCAGATAGGAGCGATGTTTGTGTCAATAGTAAATTCAAAAGGTTTTTTTAAAAGATTATTGTCTTGAAGCCAAGAATTTAACTTATAATCTGTGCTACAGAATTTGAAGGCGTCCTTTAACATATTTAGAGTTTCATCTAAATCAATGTAGTCTTTGTCAAAATTGTGAATTCTATTTTTTAAGATTATCTTGATAGTACATATTAAAGAGTCTAGGATATATTCTTTTACATTTTCCTGAATCACGAAAACGTCTTTTTTGGTAAAGTTGTTTTTTGCATGAAGACTTAAACAAAAGCGAATTGCAGCGTTTTGTATAGACTTTAAGCACTGATTTATATTAAATTGGTTGTCACCGTCACCCGATTGTAAGACTTCGCCTACTGCTTTACAGTTAGGGTCGAGGTAGGGATAAAAGTTGCCCTCAAAGTTATGATTAGTAATTTTGACATTGTTGGTAACGTTATTTAATTTTTTACTATTAACCGCCGGTTTATTTACTTCAATATTTATTTTGCAATTAGGATGTTTTTTATTGACATGTTTCTTAAAACTACTTAAATTTGGAAATGATTGAGAGCAGGTTTCTTCTAAACATTTAAAATTATTATGTGTACATAAACCGTGTTGTAATTTAAAATGTCTAACTAGTGTATAAAGATCAGCAAAAGTTTTTAAACAACAAAAACAAATCATTTTGAGAAATATTTGGGTAGATTACCTATCTCCTGCCACCTATTTTTTCTTGAATTTGCCTTACTATCTCTTGAAATAGGATACGATCTCTTAAAGAGATTGGAGGATCTTCTAAACAAAATGCCTTTATATGGTGTGGTTTAATGAGAAGTAACGCCTTCAAATCGATTTTCTGATCTAAAAGTATAAAAAAACAATACATATATACTATATGTATATAGAAAAAGAAAACCAGCCTCATAAAAATAAGGGGTAACAGAGGTGTGGGCGGAAATAAACCGAAGCATCGCGAAGCTTGTGTAGTTTGCGTATAATAGTATTATTATAATAATACAAATGTTTTGTCTATGTCGAGTATTCTCGTAAACAATGCACAGGGCCGCACTTCGGTTTTTATACGAAAAAAATACCTTTACAAAATATCAAAAATACCTTTTTACAATTTTTTGGTGGTAATTTTATATGTTTATTAAACTTATTTTTTTAATTAAAGTCCTCTGTTTTAAATAAAATAGGGTAAATTATATCTATTAAGTCTTACAGGTAAAAAAAAATATATATTTTTAATAAAAAAGTTGAATTGAATTAATTTTTTTTCACAAAAAACAGAAGTCCCAATAAGCATAAAAAACTATGCCTTTTTGAATTTAGTTTTTTTGTGGAAAAAAATATATTAATAAAAGTAATTTCTCAAATAAGGCGTTTACTGCAAGATAGGCTTAACCAACAAACAAATAAATAAGAATTTAAATTTATTATCATCATATTAAGTTAAGCAATACTTTAGGTTTTTTTACACAACAAATATTTTTCACATAGGCCACTCTTGCAAAAAACGCCTCAAATAGTTATAAAAGTAATTATTCAAATGCTTTTTGCATAAGCAGCAAAAATATATTTGATTTTTTTGTTAATTTTTAAAGCTACGCCATGTGTTAGACTTGAAAATGCAAATTTACTTACCAATACACTTTTTAAACAACAAGTCTGCTTCGTATATGGAATATACCTTAAAAATTTCTTTAAGAAATCGTCGAAATTTTAATTTTCTTGGTCTTTTTGATATTTGTATCATACTAAATTTTACCACACTTCATTTAAACAAGTGCAATCAATAAGATTATAACACAGACTGGATTATAAAATTATGTTCACCAAGGAGAGCGCTGGCCCTTTTCCCTCTCTTTCAAAGGGAATTAACAAAAATTTTGTTACCATTGCAAAACAATAGTAAATATTAAAAAAGTCTTTTTATAGCAATAAAATATTTTTGTTATTGTTCTTATTTAACAAAGATTTTCTAACTGAAATAAAATTAATTTGAATTACAACGAAAATAATTTAAAAAAGACAAATATGCCATTGTAAAATGAACAAATTTTACTATAATGCGCATTACTTTTTGTAAGCGCAATTCACACACAACTATAGATTTAACAAAAACATTTTAAGTTCAACAAAGATTTAATATAAACATAAAGTATTTCTTATTGCCATGGACAATATGATAACAACTATTTCTTTGTTGGATGAACATTTTTTTTATAAAAGCTCAACATTGCTGCTTCATTATAGTAAATGAGAATTTTATTAACAGTAAAAAAAGTTTATTCTGTAAATAAAAAATAATCTCATTACTTTGACAAATCGTAGGTTTTTGTCCCAATAAGACACTGAAAATTTAATAAAAAAGATACCTTAGATGGTACATTTTTTTATAGCCATTACAATTTTAAATTTAAGTTAAATAATATTATTTTATTAATCGCTTACAAAATTAGTTTTATTATCAGTGCATGTACATTTTTCTGAGTGTTAGAATGTTACATATTGTTATATATTTAACGCAATAAAATCCTTGACATTTAGGCAAAATATTTAGCTATTTTGGTTTAATAGTAATTAATTGAGCAAATAACAATTTAGATTGCTTTAATTTTAATGCATTCAATGACAGCGCTGTTCTTGGTACTATATAGATACTTCACAGAAAAAAATCTAACATATGTTAGATTTTTTTCTGTGAAGTATCGCGGAATCCTAAATTAGGATTCCTAATGAATATCGTAAAGAAAAATTTTTCAATTTTTTTTTGTTGCATTATTTGTTTAACTAAACCATCATATGGATCGGATAGGTTGTTA